AATGATAATCTTATTATATTCATCATTAATGTTAAAAGTTCATCAAAATTGACTTCGTCAGAAATTATTATAAGTAATATGCAAGCAACATCAAGTACGCTTTTGGACCCAGAAATAAATAAAAACAAATGCATCAGTATAGAGGAGAATGCTAGATTAAATTCAACTTACAGTTTATATTTGGAATTTGTTCATACACATTGTGACGAAATTATAAAAATAGACAAGAATATTTACCCTAATAATGGTTTGTTTAAATTTTGGATTTTAAATTTTATTATTTTTTAATCTCGTGTATGTGTATTGTGTTGATTTTTAGATTACAGTGTAAATTTGAAAAAGCAACTTCAACTAGTTCAGTTTCAACAGTGAGTTTTTGTGATTTGTATAATTAATCAAATTTTAATAAAATAAATTTAAACAAATGAAAACTGTATTTAATGTTATGTTTATCAGTTGTTAATATTTATATATTTTAGTCAAAATCAACAGGACGTAAAAAATAAGAAACTAATGGATTGTAGAGACCTGGTTAATAATGATAAATCAATATATGATTTTAGTAATATATCATCAACTTCTAGTGGTAGTGATTTCGTTTTTAATCCAGTTATTAACTTGTTTAAAAGTCCAGGTAATTAAAAAATGTATTTAATGTTTATTCATATTTTTACTTTTATTTTTAATAAGTACCTAATCACAATTTTCAAATATTTATTTAGTATCTAAATAGATTTTTAATAAGTAGTTTTTATTGTGACGTGTTGCTTCATTACTCATTTTAATTAATAGAGTTTTACTGGTGTGTTTGAGTAATTATTTAATTATTTTTTTTATTGATTTACCTGCCGCTGGGTTTCATCTATTTCAACAGATCTTTTTATACTAGGGGATAAGATATATCGATTCCGCCAGAGTAAAAATAATCTTCTCAAACCAAAATTATTATAGTTTTATTTTACTTACATAGCTATATTATAAATATTATATGAAATACCTGTATAAAAATGTTATCACTGAAATTAATGGTAAAAGGTCGCTCTGCTGTACAGTAGGTTACAAGGGGGGGGGGGTCACTGTATAATGGATGGTATTAATTTTGAATTCAATGATATAATATCATTGTATAAGAAAAACGATTCTGAGCGAAGACGGTATGTCAGTCAAGGTATAAGACATATTATATACTTATCTATAGTATTACAAAAAAAATTGTACAATAAATTTCAGTGGAATGATGGAGGTTAGATCAGAATCAGACAACGTTAAGTAACTTTAATTTTGTCAAAACAAATATATGTTTTTGTAAAATTCGTGTAGGGAAATTTAAAATGTTAATGAGTTATTGATATGTGCATTGACAGGATACCCGCATTTAATTTCACTCACACTAATAGGTAATCATTTACGACTAACGCACAGATCCCAGGCGGCTATGACAAGATTAGAAATTGCCTAAATGTTGCCCCTTAAATAATGACCGTAGCGAGGCCCCTTAATAATTTATTTTTAATATTTTAATGAATTATTAAATTATTTTGGAGATATATTTTATTTTCTATTTCAGAAATAGGTTGACAGCTGCAGCAGGTACCAGATTGACATAACAATTGTTGTTTGGTGGAATAGATAGGTTGTTTTTAGAATACGTATCGGAGTCGATACTGGCGGAATCGATATATCCCCCGGGGCAACTTAGGCCTTTGGGAGGTTTTTCAATTGTGGGGGTGGGTACTGTAGGTTTGGTAAACACGTGTGTTTTTGGTTTTGGCAGAATCTCAAGTTGGGCACCTTACTACCGTAGTTTTCTGCCATGCCGAGTCGGGGGATGACGGCTTCGCTCTCTAGACAGTTGCCTCCCAGGGAGAGGAGTCGCCCGTGGTCGAGATTCGAACCGACGGGGAAGTCCACTCAGCCACTCCACCCCTAGTCTTGAGTAATTTAGTATATAGTATAAATATGTAAATTATTAAGCATATTATGTACTTTAGGCTTTTAAAATTTATATTAAATGTTAACAAATAACGATGCTCATGAAAGAAAATATACAATAAATCATCTATATTTTCTAATATAATTTATTATTACAGGTTTATGTACCTCAACATTGTCTCAAGACAGTTTTGTTTGTTCAACACAAGAAATATCATTTACTAACTCGGACAATTCCATGAATGTAAATGAAGTTAAGCTAGAACCGAATGAAGATTACTTTTCTTCTCCAGAAATCTGCTCAAATGAAAGTACAAAAAATACGTGTGAAATAAAAACAAATGATTATCAATCAGAATTGTCATTTCATAAGTCTTTGGAGGAAACCACTCAAGTTTGTGCAAATTATAATTATAAATAAGGAACAAAATATTATGTGTTGTATAAAGGTGAATAATGGTGCAATAAGGTGAAAAATATACATTTTTTGGTATCACTTTTAAATAGCCTGAAAAATTATCGAAAAACGTACTTAAAAATAAAAAGGTGCTCTGCTGTACAGTAGGTTACAAGTGGGTCACTGTATAATAGATAGTATTAAATTTGAATTCAATGATATAATATCATTGTATTTATTTGTATAAGAAAAACGATTCTGAGCGGAGAAGGCATGTCAGTCTAGGTATAAGACATATTATATACTTATCTATCGTACTAAAAAAAATTTACCTAAAATAGGTACCTATAATAAATTCCAAATTAATCATATCACAATATTTCACTCGATTTCTCATGTAGCGATTTACTTATTTTGTTGTAATTCAAAAACGAATAACTGTAGATACATGAAAATTTCACTGAATATTTATATTAGCATTTCCTATACACTAACAACTTTTAAAATATTTTGACTCTTTTTGAGCTGTTTACGGACATTTACAGCTTTAAATTTTTTTTAGTTTTTTTTTCTATAAATATCAATAAAGTTTTATCTGTTAGGCCAAAAAATGTAAAAATTTAATACAAGGCTCCTTATATATTGTTACAATAGCAGTTGAAAAATATTAAAAATACATTGGCACAGTTTTTTTTTATAAGCATTTAAAGATCGAATTTTGACAAAATTTATCAAAATCTCGAAAATTATCAATCATTGTAATAAATAAATTATAAGAGGTGTTCAGTTCTTATAGCTAAGGATTGCAAATTCAAAACAAAGGTTCTCATAAATAGTTCATACTGTAACCAAAAAATCTAAAAAATATATGAACACAGTTATTTTTTACAGATATTTTAAATTCAAATTTGGCTGAAATTACATATTAAAAAACCTAGAATAACTATTTTAGTTATTTTGTTGTGATTGAATAATATTATTCGTGGGTACTTGAAACTTCTAAAGTGTACTATTATGTATCTATGATAGTATCATGGTTTTTGTTGATGTATAACGCGTTATAAGTACCTAATGGATATTTTGATATGATTAATTTGGAATTTATTATAGGTACCTATTATAGGTCAATTTTTTATTTAATACCATAGATATGTATATAAAATGTCTTATACATAGACTGACATACCGTCTCCGCTCAGAATTGTTTTTCTTATACAATGATATTATATCGTTGAATTCAAATTTAATATCATCCATTATACAGTGACCCACTTGTAACCTACTGTACAGCAGAGGGACACCCACTTGCCCACCCAATGATCCGATTGATCTAGTCAATAGCATTCTTAATTATAAAAACAGATTTAGATTTTTTGTCAAGTCTACTTCAGATAGAATTTCTCAGATTAAGGATTTTTTGATTTTAACTTCTTCAAAAATTAAAATATTCCATTTTTTAGTAAAATTTTTTAAGATTTAGGGAAACAAGTCAAAAATGTTGGAAAGTTGATCGCAAGTAGACTTGTTGAAATCGTTTTTAGAATTCTTATCACTTCACTAGATCAATCGGCACGTTGAAATGAAAACACGTCTAAATTACTATGTTCTAGACAAAGACAGAAAATCACAGCTTCCAATCCCCTTAAGAAGGTGCAAATGTACTGGCAATTATTTGTTATTATTTTTTTGGGGTAACTCCATGCAGTATCAGATATTTATTAATAATTAATATAGAAAATATTATATATATTTTATTGTTTTATGATAAAATTGATAAACGTATAACCTAAACATATTATTTTGTGTGTTTCAGAAATCAAAAGATTTGCTAAAATCAAGTTCGATTAGCTCAGAAGATAGTTTTAAATATTACAGAAAAAAAATGTTTTAAAAATAACAAATGTAAATAGGCTATAGGTAGGTATTAATTCATGTGTTTAATAGAGGAATATTATGTATGATTTCATAAAGGTGTTTATTTTTGTTTATGTTTATTATTATTTAAATAAAATTATTTATAAAATAAAATAAATTGTCTTGAATGTCATTGATGTCTTCAATATTCATTCATGCAGAGTGTATATTTTTTCTAATCAAATTGACGTCATTTGAGTCCAGTACACTGAGTACTGTACTCGACATCTCAGAATGAATAATTTTTTAGGGAAGCTCTACTGTTATATGTGCATTTCTTAAAAATCGTCATCGACCGCAACTCGGATGCAGCCTTTTAGACTTATAAAACATTTATGTCCATTGTATCTATGTCTACGTTCAAGACATATAACAAATTTGTATTCAGCCTTTCTTAATAATTTGTGACTTTGGGGGTATAATACCTCAATATTATTTCAAAGCTTTTATCTATAGTTGCATTTCTATTCAATTCAATATAAATGTTTAAAAATGTTAGTAAATTAGTACACTATAGTAAACATTACTCCAGGGAGCATCGTTTTGATGCATGAATATTGGATAATATATCGTTACAGTGTCTGGGGTTCTTTTTTGTTGACTGTAGTATTTCTAGTGTTTGAATGCAAGTCCTCTCTACCTAAACATCGATGTCAGCAGATTCGACCCATCAATGGCCGGGCGAGATTACTATCAGTACGCGGTGTTGTAACCATGGCCAAAATAACAGTACGTTCTGGTAAATGGCAATGAGACGATGACTTGTGTCGAAGGAAAATGGGATAGTGAATTTCCGATATGTGCTAGTAAGTACTGTGTATATTTAATATTTACTATTATACTAACTTAAAAATTAAAATACTACTACTAAAATGGTTTTCTTCAAATTGACTTTTGATCTCATAATGTAATGTTCAGCTATAATAGAGCCACGCATGTTTTTGAATTTTTGCGACTATTTATTTAATATTTAGGGATCAATTTATTTTATTTTTAGATTTCTTAAGCTTGTTTTACTCTGAAATATTGTAGCTCCCAACCACGTAGGTACATATCTGTAAATACATAAAGCCACTCTGTTTATAGGAAAGTGTAAATTACAAATTTGCATTATTTTTTGATTACAAACAGTTATCTATATTGTTTTTACAATAACAGTGTGTATATTATAATATAAGTGTGTACTTTCTTTTTTTTAGTACCCAAAAGAAAAATCATTTTTTTGCATGTTCAACAAATCTAAAAAGAGCATTCTCCTTTGTGATTAAAATGTTATTCAACAAAAACGATGGTAGCAGAAGTAGTATTGTGCAAACAGGCCCTTCTCTGCTGTCGGTTCAAACTGAAAAAAATCATTCTCCATAGTTATATTAGTAATAATTTATTAAACATAAAAATTGTGCACAAAATAACCCTTTTTTTAAAAAAAAACGTTCATTGTTAAAATGTTGTTCATTTTAATGCATATATAAAAAAAATAATATCAAATAACACAGATCACTATAATATTATTAATTAAGAAACAATATTTTGTACATTACAGTGTTATAGAAAATGATCAAGGATTACTGTTTATTCGTTTATTACGAACAATTTTTTTTCGGTGTGTACTTTTTTAAACAACTCGTTTTTCCAAATTTTACACAATTTACACCGTCAATTTACGCACATGGCGTCATGGCACATATGACACATTCATTGTTTACGAATGAGTGATGACTGATGATGGATGAGACGAGGCAATGAATCACAAACATAACCATTAACCATCTCTCGAGGTTTTCAATACTGAATATCTGTAATCTGTATAGTGTATTACTGTATTGACTATATTGAATTATTAAATATACGATAATACGACATAGAATATGCTATAAACTAACTTAATGCGGCGCTGGCGGTCGCGGGTTCGATTCTCTCGACCACTGGGCGGCATTTTTCTCCGGGCATCACGGTGTCCGGAGAACAAGTGCCGCCATCCCCCACTCCGGGGCATGGCAGAAACCTACGGGTGCCCCAATAGAAATTCTGCCAAACACAACACACCCGTGTAATAACCCTACAATTTCAAACCCTACTACCTACAATCATAAACCCTACAATCAAGCTAATGGCCATAGTCGCCGGGCTTTAAAAAAATGAATTTAAAAAAAAAAAAAAATTAACTAACTTAACTATAAAGTAATTATTTTCTGTACATATTATACCTCTGACATATTTTGTATTATTTGAATAGGTACTGCAATAATGAAATATACTAAAAATTTTAATTTCACGACAAGATTCAAACAACAACTATGGATAAACGGTTATGATAAAAATATTAACGTTTATGTATAAGACAATCGACTCACCTAAAAATATATCTAAAAAACTCAAACATGCAGTGATTATTTTCAGTAGGTGCATTATACTTCTGTTGTCTTGATTATTTGGATACTGAAATATATTTAACATATTTAGTTTATATGACAAATAGCAAAAGCGACTATGATGCGACTTTATCCGTTAATATAATTATTATACTATACTACGTATTTATATTTTATATATTAGTATAGATTCACTGTTCGGTTAAGATAAAACTATCTTAACTTTATATGTAAATCGAATCATCTAAAAATACAAAATAATTTTTAATGCACTTTTTACAAACAAAATGTATACTACTATAATACAATTCTTTAATATATATTGTGATGAAAATATACCTTGTACCTACTACCTAATAGTAATTCATATTACACATATACAGTAAACTGAGGAGTTTCAGTGGCACTCAACATTTGTGCTTACTATTAATGTTTTTTTCTAAATTGAAAAAAAACACCACCGAAACTTCGTTCATTTTAATTTATTATGAATAATTATATTTCATAAATTGTAAACAATACGTCTACATATTCTAACGGTTTTTAATGAAAATAGGTACCTTCTCTTGAATAGGATAAAATACTTTTTACTGCCTAGGTATATATATAAATGGTATATGGTATATATAATATATATAATATAAGATGATGTCCGTGCACTATTTGTTCCTCTCACTGACTCACGCACAACGTACCTATTCAATTTGATTTCAAATTAAAATTTTCGTTCAGCTGAACCATCAACCAACGTTATGTTGTTAGCTTTAGTAGTTATTAGAGTGAATTGACCCATCAAAGTTAAAGTTCAGAACAGTATTTGTATTGATTTTTACAATATTTCAACTTTTAGTTATGACTTATGAGTGAGTAAAATAGTACAATTTAAAAATGCTCATATCTTGATTTAAAATGTATGTATCGTAAAATGTCCAATGCATGAACATAGATAATATTCAAAATATAATAATAAGTCAATAATTCACTCTAATACTAATACCTACAACGACATTAGGATTAAAGTTTTTTTGTTGAACGAAAATTGTCCATGTAAATCATATTCCATGTAGGTCAGAGAGAGAAAACAAATAGTATACCTACTCTTAAAACTTTTACTAAAGCATAAACCAAAAAAAAAACACAAGAGGATCTATGTCCCCCATCCCGTAAATATGCCGTTGACCTGAAATAAAATTATCGTTTAAAGCGGTAAAATACGATTGAGAACGTTACGGTTGAGAACGTTATTTTTGGTAACACGATTGAGAACGCTTGATATTTTTTTTTTCCAACGTTGCCAAATGTAATCGAAAGATAATTTGAGCACGATAACCGGCTATCGAACGATAAAGAACGTTTGCCTTTTTGGCTGAACGATTGATCCGGTTGATAGGCATTTAATATTTATGGGACGTTCTAGTAATTTATTAAAATATTTAGAGTATGTTGGATTACGCTATCCCGCTATAACTAATTTATAGGTAACTAATTTGTCATTACTTGTTACTTATTTATTACATTTTTTATACATAGGTATTTATTACATATTTTTATAATATTCTACATTTTAGATTCTGAGTGAAACGATGAATGTATTGATTTTACAATGATGTGTGTTTTTTTTTTTATTTTTTTTTTTATTTTTTTATTTTTTTATTTTTATATTTATTTTTTTTGTGTCTGTGTACACGATAAGTAGTCGAAATAATGCTTCGATTTTCGACTTCAGTATCTTGTTCGATTGGAAAGTGAATATCGTTGGTGCATTGGGGAGGTCAAAATTTAAATTTCCCAGTAGTTTTCAAGAGCGCCGGGAAAAACAAAAGAAAAATTAAGGAAAAACGGGAATTTTTACGCAAAATCGATTTTTCAGAAAATTGAATTTGGTTTTTGGTGTAACTTTAAAACAAATGACCGTAGGCACATGCAATTTTCACTGGTTGTTTATATTTGCATCTTCTATACACGATAACATTTTCAAAATATTTTGATTTATTTTGAACAGTTTAGGGACATTTTCATTTTTAGTTTTTTTTTAGTTTTTTTTCTAGAAATATCAATAAAATTTTATTTGTTGGTTGCGAAAGCTTGAAAATTTAATAGAAGGTTCCTAATATATTGTTTCAAAGGCAGATGAAAAATATTAAAAATCCTTAGTCACAATTTTTTTTTATAAGCATTTAAAGTTCAAAAATTGACAAAATATGGAAAAATCGCGAAAATTAGCAAATTATTTTGAGTTAAGAATTCGTAAAAATTTTTCTTTTCAAATCTAAGATTTGAAAATCTAATACAAGATTACTCATAAGATTGTCTACCATTATCAATAAAAAAATCTCTACAGGAAAGTCAAATTAAATTTTTATGAGAGTTTGAAATTCAAATTTTTACAACATTGGATATTCACTCGATTTCTCATGTGGCAATTTCCTTTTTTTGTTGTAATTAAAAAACGAATTACTGTAGATACATGAAAATTTCACTGAATGTTTATATTAGCATTTCCTATACACCATACAATTTTGAAAATATTTTGACTCTTTTTGAGCCGTTTACGGACATTTTTGGTTTCAATTTTTTTAGTTTTTTTTTTCTATAAATATCAATTAAGTTTTATCTGTTGGGCCAAAAAGTGTAAAAATTTAATACAAGGCTCCTGATATATTGTTACAATATCAGTTGAAAAATATTAAAAATACATAGGCACAATTTTTTTTTATAAGCATTTTAACATCGAATTTTGACAGAATTTTTCAAAATCTCGAAAATTATTAATCATCGTAATTAATAAATTATAAAATGTTCAGTTTTTATAGTTAAGGATTGAAAATTTAAAACAAGATTCCACGTAAGTAGTTAATTCTCTTACCGAAAAATCTAAAAAATATACAATCACAGTTTATTTTTATAGTCATTTTATGTTCAAATTTGGTCGAAATTACATATTAAAAAACCTAGTTATTTTGTTGTGATTATATAATATTATTCGTGGGTACCTACTTGAAACTTCTAAAGTGTACTATTATATATCTATGATAGTATAAGGGTTTGTTATTGATGTTGATGTATAACGTGTTATAAGTACCTAATGGATATTGTGATAATGTGATATGATTAATTTGGAATTTATTATAGGTCAATTTTTTTTTTAATACCATAGATATGTATATAATTTGTCTTAAACCTAGACTGACATACCGTCTTCGCTCAGAATCGTTTTTCTTATACAATGATATATTGTATCATTGAATTCAAATTTAATAGCATCCATTACACAGTGACCCACTTGTAACCTACAGTACAGCAGAGCGACATCCACTTACCCACCTTTTTTACTTTTTTTTTACATATTTATTACATATTTTTATAATTCTAAATTTTTTAAACATATTTATATTACATATGACTTTTTTCAAGAATATTTGTTAAATGATAAATAATAAATGATATGGCAACGTTGCATGTAAATTCGTTCTCAATCGTATTCTTTTTTGGGTTTTTTTGGTGTCAGTGGTAAGTTCTTTGTTATTTTTAAGTGTTCTCAATCGTTCGGCCAAAAAGGTGTAACGTTCTCAATCGTTCGATAGCCGTTTAAAGATATGCACTTATAATTTAATTTTAATTTTTCTTAATAATATATTATTTAAGTTTATCTATTTTTTAATGATGAATTATTAATTATAGGTTCTGATTTTCTGGGAATACTGTCATTAGTTATTCATTAATCATTAATAATATATAGCTTAACTACTCGTTACTTTGATATATCGATAAAACTTATAATGGAAAGACAATATAATAGGCATCAATAGTTTCCATAAATTAGTTAAAGATGAAGCCATAGATATTTTAGATTTATATAATTTATTATATTAATAACAAAGTAGATTTATTCGATTAGGTACTTTATAGTTTTTAAGATATTGGATATAATTTATAATTTTGTTCTAATAAATTGAATTGCTTAATATACTGCCTAGTTATCTTTTCTAATTATTAATTCTTATACAATATTAGGCATTAAAATATTAATGTAGATTTATTTTAAATGTTAAGCTTATACTGCCAATATGTGATTTTGAATGACCTTTTATGGTACAATTTTGACAAATTGATTTATTATTTACAATTATTTTGTCCAAATTAATGTTGATAATTATAATAAAGTATTATTATAAATTATAATATTACGTACTATTATGTAGAAATGTAATGATTTAAGACTGCTCTATATGTTAATTAAGAACAATATATAAATTAAATGTTATTAGTTATTATTGTAATAAATGTGTATGTGTGTATCTATTCTGATGAAAAATTAGAAATAATATTAATTGTTTTTTATTTACGTGCCAAACTTGGTACGCATTATTTAACATTTGTTAACAAATAAATATATACACTTTGGTATAATATTGTACTTATATTAGTATATTACAAGTAGTGTAATATGGTAGCAAGGGTGCTTATAGGGGGGGGAAGGAGCCATTGCCACCTCTCTCTGAATTTTTTACTGCGGGTACCTTAATATAAATATCACTATTATAGTATTATTAGATTGTACGTAATTTTTGTATCTTACCCCTGGTGGGATTTTGTCCTGCGGGCGCACTTACATGGTAGGTTGAATGATGAATTAATTTTTAACAAACACATATCATAAGTATATATATATCAGCTATATTATTGTTATCCACTTATAAGTAGATAATGAATTTACGTGAATAGAGGTTCACAGTATAAACATCTTAATATTTAGAATTTAGATAAATATTTTTAAAATGCAATTATTAGTTTACATTTTTAAATTATAAAAAATTAACTAAAAATGTTATTTTTTGTTAAGATATCCAATTTCCCAATTGTCAATAAAAAAAACTGTGACTATAGGTATGTATTCTCGATATCTTTGAGTTAGGTAGGTAGTAGTTACTGTAAAAACAATACTTACCTACGAGGAACCAAGTATTACATTCTCAAGCTTTTTGACTTGAAAAGAATTTTTACTATCATTAATATAAATATAAAGTGCAGTGGGGTGGAGTATGTCAGCGGTGTTGGAAGTTTGTCCATCGTCCCTTCTGTCCTCGGGCAGGATAGTGCGTATTATTACAGTATTCAATTTAAATGCAATGATTGCATTCGATAAAAAACGATTCTGAGTGGAGTAACGGTATAAAAATTAGTAATTATATGTAGCGATATATATATAGAAATACAGGTTAAAATAATTGTACCTATATTAATATTTTAATATAACAACTTTCAAGCCAATTGAAAATTTAATAATTAGTACTATCACATAATATTTTATAATTTTAACAGTTGAAACGAATGTATATTTTTTATAGAATATGATCCAATACATATACCTTGTGACTTCGAATTGCCGGAAGAAAGGTTTTGTGGGTGGAGAAATTATATGTATAATGAAACTGAGTGGGTGGCCGATAACATTTCAGTTCTGCCAAACAGTAAAAGAAGTCACGTAACACCTGGTTCTTCTCAATATTTTATAAGTAAATAATGATATCTTTCAATTTTAAAATGTAAAACGTTTTTGAATATTATATGCTGAATCCTCTCTCTGCACGTCATAATGTACAGTAGGTTACAAGTGGGTCACTGTAATGGATGGTGTCAAATTTGAATTACAATGATATAATATCATTGTATAAGAAAAACGATTTTGAGGGAAAACGGTCAGTCAGTATAGGATATTACAAAGTATATTTGATATTTTGATGATACTACTGTGAATAAAGTAATTTATATAATATTATAAGCTATAACCTATTCACTTGGAACTTTGTTTTAAATTTTCAATTCTTAGCTATAAAAGTTGAAAATTTTATACATTTTGAACTACAAAATAATTATTACATTTTAAATTTGATACATTTTGTTAGAAAAAAAAACTAAAAAAATTGAAACTGACTATGTCCGTATACAAATCAAAATGAGTCAAATTATTTTCAAAATTTTATCGTGTATAGAAAATGCTAATATAATCATTCAGTGAAATTTTTAAGTATCTACAGTCCGAGTTCTACTCACACTTCGCCGGTTTTTAATTATAACAAAATTAGAAAATCGTTACATGAGAAATCGAGTAAATATCAAATGTTGTAAAAATATAAATTTCAAACCCTCATAAAAATTTAGTTTGACTTTCTTGTAGACATTGTTTTTTTGTTGATAAAGGTAGAAAAATGTATGAGGAATCTCGTATTACATTTTCAAATCTTAGATTTACAAAGAAATTTTTTTATGAATTTCTAACTCAAAATAATTTGGAAATTTTCGTCATTTTTAAGTAGGTATTTTGTAAATATTTGAACTTTAAATGCTTATAAAAAAAATTGTGACTATGGATTTTTAAAATTTTTCATCTGTCTTTGGAACAGTATATTAGGAGCCCTCTATTCAATTTTTAAGCTTTTGTACCCAATAAATAACATTTTATTGATATTTATAGAATAAATAACTAAAAAAATTAGAAACTGAAAATGTCCCTAAACAGCTCAAAATAAGTTAAAATATTTTAAAAAAGGCATGGCGTATCGTGTATAGAAAATGCTAATATAAATATTAAGTAAAAATGTCATGTATTTGCGGTCATTTGTTTTAGAGTTACACCAAAATCGATTTAGCAAAAAATTCCTATTTTTCCTTAATTTTTCTTTGTTTTTCACGGCGCTTTTGAAAACTACTGGAAAAATTTTACTTTTGACCCCCCCCCCCACCAAAGTACCAACTAGATTCACTTTCCTACCAGAAAAGGTACTGTTGAAGAAAATCCAATCAATTTTTACTGTCCTAAAAGGTGATGACGACACAAAAAAAAATTTAAAAAAAAACACACATCATTGTAAAATCAATACATTCATCGTTCCACTCGGAATCTAAAATTAAAAATCAATTTAAATAATATTTTATACTTATTTTGATATGGAATAATATACTTATATTTGATATTTATGGAGATAGAAAATGTTTAAAATATTTATACTAGTTATAGGTAAGTTATATAATAAAAATTTTAAGTAAAGTGTCATTTTAAATGTATACCTATATTATTTGTTGCACTAGTAAACTATAGTTAAAATGTGTATTAATATATTATGTAGTTATATAGGTATATTAATAATGATCTAAAATTAAAGTGAAACACAAAAAACGAAACTTATAACCTCATTGTAATCGTTAAATTAGAATGGATTCTGCAGCAATTAAAAAAAAGTACCAATAAGTCCCTAAACAATAAATATTAAAATATGCATTGTTGGGAAGATTAGATTTAGAAATTTAGCACGTCGTGGCTCTAAGATTATTAATTTGAAGTTTGAACTACATAGAAGGTTATTTTCTATATCAGATAATTATATATCTTTGGACACGGAAGATTATGGATCCACTACCATCGGACAATTGTTATCACCATCACTTCTTCCAGTTGCAACTAAACAAAGGTGTTTAAAATTTTCTTATAAAGTAACGCCAGCCGATTCACGCAGTCGTCCTACACTGAAAGTAATTCTTGGAGGCATACCTCACTGGCAAACTCATGGAGGGGAAGGAAGAGCTATAATTGGGTTATATCGATTTAACGTGCCTAATCAAGTGAGTTTATTCAATATTCAAATTGTTTTTAACAACTTAAGTTAAATTTCATTTATTTTATTTGGTAGATCTTAATTGAAGGTAGTAGTTGTAAAGCAGCTATTGATAATTTGATAATTACAGAAGATAATAGTTGTACTCAACGACCGTACGACGAAGGTAAATAAACATGAAAATAATTTATATTTATTTTAATATATAAGATTTAACTTTAAGTTAAAGTGTCTTCACTGGAAGGCTTCTTAAATCCGTCCTTTCCACTTATTCATTCAATTATCTATTTTACTTATTGTTCATATTTTTATTGTAACAGATTGTAAATAAAAAATTATAAAAATAAAAAAAAAAAAAAAACTTTAAGTTGACCTCATACAATAATAATATTATAACGTGACATATATTTTGACTGTTTATAGAGCTCGAAAGTTGTCATGACAATTGCGGAAAAATATCAGATGGGGTTGGTTGTTCGTGTGATTGGGCATGCCATAATAATAATAACTGCTGCACAGATATACAAATAAAATGTCCGTATAGTGAGTTTTGCGTTTTATTCGTGTTTTTATAAGGTACCTATAGTATATATTTTATAATTTATAAAATAAAATTCGTTAATTTACAGTCAAACCAATAGATGATATATCTAGATTATATTTATCTACTTCAACTACTACCACACAAACCATGATGATGACTTCAAAAAAAAAATAAAATGTTAAATGTAACAATTCCCAAAAATAGGGATAACAATACAATAACAATTGGCAAGCTTACTTTAGTTTTTAATTCTATTGTATTAATGCATCGAACCCCCTTTAATTCAACCGAGATTAGTCCCACATTGAATCCAACATCAAAAGGTTTAATAACTCGCCGTTCACCAAATATTGTCGATCATTTAAATAAAAATATATCCACTTTTTCCGATAAAAATTTGACTGATATAATTCGTCCAAATTTTGAAAACTCTGTAATACCTTTACAACATAATCAAACTTTAAAAACCCAAGCAAGTTCATTAAACAATTATAGCCGTGTACCGGCCTTAGGAACTGAGTCTACTAATCTTTCAGAGAACCTGAAACTAAACAGTGAGTTTTTAAAAAATCAGTTTAACATATTTTTTTACATGTTTCGATATTAACTTGTAATAATTCCTGTTTGTATAGAGATCACGGGATTGTCTTACGTATATGATGCCATTTACATTATTGGATACCTTGTTGCAATATGTGGTTTACTTTTCATCGTTAAGCACTCTTTTTACTTTATAAAGTCTCTTATCAAGAAACTAACAGATGCTAAAGACCAGACTTTTGTTGAGACGAATAATGAAGGGCCTAGAAATATTGGATTGATATCTAATTTATAAGAATAAATATTACATTTTAATAACAAAAAATTTAACTATTTTCCAATAACTTTAAATCATCTTACTATTCCAAACTTTTTTTTGTATTAACTTTCGTACGTATATATTATAATATATAGGCGCACCTAAAATATTATTATTTCTGGTTTTATATTTTACATTTATTTTTAATAAAATTTAGATTTATTTAATGATGCCTGTAAGCAATATGTTGTGTTATTATTATTGATTAAAAATAAATAGTAAAAGTTAGTAAAAATATATTATGTTGATATGGAATCAAATACTGAAATCGTAGATTGCTTTTTTCCTCTAAAATATTTATGTTTAACGAACCTTAGAGGTTTTTCAAAATCATCTAACCTTCACTCTTCAGTATCACCTAGGGTGCTTCGTAATAGCCATATTTTGATTGTCTTTGTCTAATTTATATCACTTAAAAATTAAAATATATTAGTCTATTTATTATAATAGCTTACATACCTAATGGTTGTGTTAAAAGGAAATTGGAAACCCCACCATTTTAGGTACCTATAGCTAGTAGACATACTTTTTTTTTAGGATAGTAAGCTGTGACTGAAAATTATTTAACTTAAATTACATAAAAGTAATAAACAAAGAAGCTTAGAAGCCATCTAGTCTCTCGTAAAATTCTTTTTATTCAAAGTCTAACATGGTAGGTAGTCCTAGTAAGTCGCCTAAAACAATATTTTATATAAGATTAAAAATAGGTTGATAACTTTAAAATAGTTTAAACGGACGACTGCTTTAAGGCTAATTTTTTTTCATGTTTTCAGATCAGTAGTTACCTATACACATTTATACATATCGTCCGCCCTAATATATATTTTGTTGAAAAAAACTTTTATCATAGCATTGGTTTTAAGCTATACAGTTGTATACAAATATATTACAATACATTGGGTAAACAAATTTAATTTGTGAATTTAATACTTGACGTAGTAGACTATAAGACCGTCTGTCTGCTCTGGTCCATACTGCCTACAGCTTCCTCTGATGGAGGAATACAGCCTGTCGTGTACTATAGACAGCCATCACAATTGTAAATTATAATATATATTATGGAGTATTTATGTTGAAATATGTTAGTAAATAATTAGGTTGGCCAACGAAGCTAAAAAATGTGTCAACATTAAAATTTGACACAGCCGCATGCGTAGGCACGGGCATTCCTGCTGTGGTTGGGAAACTCGTAGGTACGACGATTATACGAAAATGAAGTGACGGCCGTAGTACAGACCAAGTGCTTTGTTTTATGATAATCTTTATATATACACCAATAAAAGTGTTTCTGACGGAAAATTGTGTTCAAGTTTTATTTGAGACCGTTGGACGTTCTTATTCTTTCTATATATAAGGAACTTGCAGGAATAGCGCTGATCCAATTGTCTTTGCAGGTGAGAGCCATTTCTTAATTTAAATTGAGACCCTATGACTACGATCAGAGGTTTTAGAGCGTGCCACTATACGGGTTAGGTACACTGATACGAAAAGCTATACAGGAACATTTTCCTTTTTATCCACTTTAGTTTGTCTGCATTCTACGAGGTATAGGTAAACTAAACATTTTTTTTAGCAATTATCTTAAACATTTTTTTTTTAATACAAATATTCTATCCAACAGAAACGTATAGGTACCTATATAGCTTATTGATTGTTTTGATGCATTGTGCAGTCCAAGTGTAATTATGTTTGTTCATGTAGGTTGAACAAACATAAGATCGCCTAAGATTCTATAGGTAAATTTATCGGATGACTGTAAGTTTCCACACAAAATATAGGTACCTAATATACACTGAAAAAAAAACCCGGATCATATTAATAAAAACATTTATTAGTTTGACAATTATCTTGTTGCTATTTAGCTGACAAGATTTTTGTCAAACTAATGTATATTACATTGTTAATACCTACGATCATGGTAATTAAATCATCTCATATTATCATTTTGAGAAATGTATTGTTAAAATGATAATATGAATTGTTAATTAGAATTACTATTCTTGTAGCGGTGACAATTATCTTGTCAGCATACTAATAATTGTTACCGGTGACATTGTTAAAATTATAAATATTTTTTATAAACTGATAATTTATAATATGATAGATTTAAAAACTTAGTTATCAATCTGAAAATATAAATTGTTAAATTACATTAAATATTCTTGTAGAAATGACAATTATTTTGTCAGCATACTAATGATATTGTTACTAACAAAATACAATAATAATCATTTCTTTGATTTTTTTTAAGCACATTTTCTTCTATAATCATTCCTCAGTAATTTCTTGAAGTATAGAACATAGTTCACAAACACAAATTAAAACTATAGTTAAAATAAATAAATAAGAAAACGTATTGGTTAATTGAAACAAAAACTTTAATTCTTTTTTAATATAATATCATTACCTATGTATATTATATAGGTAATGATAATTGTAATTATAATAACTTTAAAATATAGTGGCAGTATAAAATGTATAAAACAAAAATAATTATTATTTAAGTTCTGATAAGATTTGTGCCAGCTTGGGATGTGGTTGATCATATTTGGTTTTCAGACCAAAAAATATTATAATATTGTAGTTTTTAAAATTTAAGTTTGACATAAAAAGATATGGAGCACCCCCAAATCATTTTACAACCGTTAAAAATTACTGTAAACAACACCATAATTTACAAATTCATATCGTTGTTATAACTTATAGATTTAGATCCAATAATATGATTTGTACCCTTATTGGTACCTATTATATTTAAATTATGTCTTGTAACCTTATATTTAAACGTTATCTAAGTTTTAAACCAATTTAAGTATAAAAAAAAAAATAAATAAAACTCTTACAAGGAAATAAAATACAAAACAATAATATTAATAATATGAGCTCACTCTGCGTTCGCCACTCTCCATACTACGTCGAACAGCATAATATTTCACTTAGAGAGTAGCTTGAACATGGTTTTAAATGTTATATAATATTATACTGATGATATAGCATTATAGTGAACCATACGCATATGAAATCGTCCAGACAAGTAAAAAAAGAAAAACATTGAGATATTTTCATTGATCAATCGAGAAGAGTGTTTTTACGGAATGTGAATTCTTTATTAACATAATATAATATAATCCATAATATTGACCTTTAATGTTATTTTTGTTTATCGATGATGGTGTTCCGGTTCGCGATAAAGAGGATGTCGTGGTGTACGCAGTACTCATACATGACAATATTTTGAATTCAGTTATCGTGTGAGTAGTTCACAAACTTGTTCACGATGGTCGGATTCAGTGCCATTTTTGTCTTTTTCGTTTACTTGTATCTGAGCAAAGGTTAGTATATTATAACTATTAACAGGTCTAATTTCAATGTATATGCTTTAAAAATAAAATGCGTGTTGTGTGCTAAATGTTTTTAGTATATTAATCCACCATAACTAACAGTATACAAATAGCTAAAAACATAACAACGAAAATATTATGCAAATAGGTATATAAATGTTGGTAAAAACCAATTTGATTTTGACTCTGCGACATTTGTCGTCCAAAGCTTGGTTGATCGGTTTCGAGCGAGGCTACGAGTTCATATTAAGTTATAATAGGTAAATCAATAAATCAATGAATCAATTTTAATATATGAATCTTCAATCTGGCACCATAATTTGCGTTTGTTTTAGTTGATTTGATTTTAATTTAGCTTATTTGACATTCTAGTAATAACTTCAGTCTACAAGTAGGTACTTAAAATAATATTTTTTCGAATGTTCAAATTAAGTAAATTTTGAATTTTTTTTACCAAATACCTACATAAAATGTTAGTACCGGTTCGTTATGCCACGTCACTCTAGTTTGTTATCGTTACACCACCCATATTTTAATTAATATATTGAAAATGATGTATACTCATCATAAATTAATTTAAAAACTCGGAAACTTCTGACAGGTAAAAAGCGTATGTTAATTTATAACACTAAATAATACGGATTTCAATATAATCAAGTCAATCATAGATACAATACCGTAGACTCTGACTTAATGTGGGTTTCGGACAAAAGTGGCAACAAAAAACGCAGAGGAAGAGATATATAGGGATTTTTAAAATCTTACACGGCAGAATTTTTGTAGTGGTTAAATAGCAAAATGATAAAGATCTGTTTGATTCAATTTTAAAATACATATTATTAGAATTTTGGCCTCAGTCTTAATTTTAATTTTTTCGCATGATTGTTATTACGAGATCTAAATACTATTTTTACTGGTAATATTATTATCATAATCTATTTATGATTTTTGAGAGTGTTTAATGAAAATATAAATTACCATCACCTAGCTGTATTATGCTATTTGTTGTTATTATGGCCTATATGGAGGGTAAATTACAGCAATAATTAAGTTTTGAACTTGACGAATTAATAAATAATAATTTTGTGTGTGATTTCAGTATCAGAATGTGATTCTTTATCGAGAAATCGGTGTCCGACCATAGAGCTGAAGAACGGTCGAGTAAGATTGCGTGCGGGCGGACGGGTAGCGAGGATTAGTTGCCTACCGCCGTTCAAACTGATTCGTGGTTACGAGGAGGCGAATTGTGTTCGAGGGCAATGGGACACCGAGAATCCGATTTGCGCCAGTAAGTTGATATAATCAATTCACTATAATAATATAAAGTGGTCAAGGAATCAAAAATCCACGATATAAAAATCGCCAAAGCAAAAATGTGCAATCCTAAACATTTAATAAATTAACAAATAACAAATAGGTAGACTTTAACTGTGGTACATAATTAATTTTTAAGCACTTAATAATAATATTATAATATATTTAATTGTTATTCGATGATATTTAGTCTGTATAGATGTCGAAGAACTTAAAAACTCTGGATCATAGATGTTCGAGTTTTTCGAATTTATAATAATAATTTGTTTATTCTACATTATAATATTAATATTTTTTAGATCTACAGAAGTGTTTAGTTATTGAGTTATATACTTATACTTTTCGGGACACCATTATATCCGTTTCTTATCTATAAATTGGACTACCAGACTATTGTATATAATACTGAATACATAATATGTCGTAATATATTTATCGGGTTATAATGTTACATTCCAATCGATTTACCACTCACCAAGAATTCTTTTTTGTTTTAGTTGGATTTTAGCAGTTTTTTTTTTGTACGGTTATAATTACAGGAAATATTATATTTCGATTATAATATATTGTGTAATGTGTATTTATTGAAAAACAAATGTTGTTGTTGTTAAGTTATTATTCTATGTATATATAAATAAATAATAATAATATTGACTCAATGTCTCAGTAGCACAATTGTATAGTATAACACACAAGTCGATAGGTACCTATTATATAAATAAAATATAATACTACTTGTTACTACTTACTACCATATTATATTTATCATTATTCTTACTTGAATTATCATTAATCAGATAAGTCTTTGATACTGAAAAAATAATTATACAACTAGCCAGTAGATTTATTTGTTTGAATATAAGTATAACATTTTTAATTTAATATCTCAGATTTGTAGTCTATAGTTGTATTACAATATCTGACAATTTAATGTCTATTTATGCTCATTTACATTTTTAGAGCAATTTATTGTGATGTAAAAGTGTAAACAAATATTTTACAAGTACCTATATATATCACAGAGGAAAGGGAACATGTGATAAACAAGTTATTAATTCTTAAATTATATCAATAAATATTTATTGATATATTAGCATTTATAAATATTATATAATATATTAGGTACAACTATACAAATAAGTGTATTTTTCTCAATCACATTTAACATTGTAAAATTCGATGTCAATAATAAATACATATGTGTGAGTTCGAAAAACACATAATAATATAAATTTATTGCTCGTTACATTTAGAGCAAAGTACGAAGTCACGCATTAATATACATTTACATAATCACAAAGGGCAGAAGACAATTGAGTACTGATTAATTAGCACTTGCATATTATAAATTATTATAAAACAACACAAAATATAGTAGAGTACTTAAACTAATTTTGTTTTATCAACACAGTAGATAATAATATAGTCGTGTCATATAATATAAATTTATGATTTATTTTTTGGTTTTCTTTTATACAGAAATATAAATTGATTTTCATCTCATTCGTCGTGTGATCATTTTACAATCCACTTTCAAACATAAATCCTATATTGTATTTCTATATATTATGTTCAACATCTAATATGTTTTATTTTTACAATTTTTTTTCATTTTCGAAAGCAGGGCGTAAAATAATAAGGTGGGAAATTAAAAGTTAAATACCTACGTGTATTTTTCTATTATGACAATATGACAAATATACAATAAACTTGGAAGGATAAAAAAAAATGTGGGCAAGTGAGTACTGCTCTGTTGTAATGTAGGAGTTCAGTGGGTTACTGTAATGGATGTGTTAAATTTGAATTCAATGATATATCGTTGTACAAACCAACAATGATTCTGAGCGGAAATGGTCTGTCAGCATAATATGTCAAATATATTTCATGATATGATTTTTGATACTACTATTAAAGTAACTTATTTTACTATTAGTATTACGAAAGGTTTATTTTACTTTTTCCGAAAAAATTTGCATTTATATTTTATTATATTAAAACCATATGTTATTATACTATTGTAATTCATTTTTGAGTCAATACCATCTTAATTATGTGAATAGATTAATGGTATAAATATTAAATAGACAATAGCTTACAATTAATATAAATATTTTGAAAATATCATTGCATATAGTAACATTTATAATTTTATAAGCCCCACGAATAATGTTTTTGAATTAGGTACAACGGAATAACTGACATTGTTTTTCTTTGTATAAATAATATCTAATTTCGTTCAAATTTAAATAACATGTCTATAAAAAAAAAGAGTTAATATATTTTTTAGAATTTTTGTTTACATTACTAACTACCTACGTATTTTCAATCTTTTATTATAAAAATTTAACATTTTATACATTTATAACAACAAAATAATTTACAGAAATCCAGAAATTGTTAGTTTACAGTTTCGAGTTAGTATTATTTAGTATCATTTCGAGTTAGAAATTCATATGAATTTTACTATTTATAATTAAGCTTTGAAAATTGATGAACATAAGATAACCTTAAGTATTCCTACATTGTTACATCTGAAAAACACTAAAAATCCAGTCACAATTTATTTTTAAGTATTTAACGTTTAAATGTTGACAAAACACGTAAAAATCACAGAAATGTTCAAATTATTTTGCGTAAGAAATTCATAAAATATTTTCTTTTTAAATCTGAATACTAATTCCTCATAAGTTTGTCAATCTTTATCAAAAAAAAAAAATTACTATAAGAAGGTCAAATTATATTTTTATGAGCGTTGAAGTTCATATTTTTACAAGATTGGATATTCACTCTATTTCTTATGTAGACTGTAGAGATTATCTTATTTTGTTGTAATTTAAAAACGAAAAACCGTAGACATTTTAAATTTATATCATATATTTATTTTATCAATTCCCATGCTTGATAAAATGTTGACTCGTTTTGAGCTGTTTACGGACATTTTCAATTTTCAATTTCTTTATAGTATTTTTTTCTATAAATGTCGATAAAATGTTATTCATTTTGTCAAAAAGCTTGAAAATTTAATACGAGGCTCCTGATATATTTTTACTTTAGCAGTTGAAAATATTAAAAATACATACTCACAATTTTTTATTATAAGCATTTAAAGTTCGATTTTTCACCAAATTTATCAAATTTAAAATGTAATAATTATTTTGTTAAAAATTTATAAAATGTTCAATTTTTATAGCTAAGGATTGAAAATTTAAAATAAGGTTCCACGTAAATGGGTTATATATAAATTACATTATTCACAATAATATCATCAAATATATTTATATAGTAACCAGGGCTTCAAACCGAAATGATTTTTGTGGTTAATGGTTTAAGTTCTTCTTTAATTTTTTTTTGTTTAAAAAACCGGTTAATATTGATCCTAAATTCTTTTGGTTTTTAAATTAATAAAACCGGTTAATTTTTTTTAATTATATGAATAATAATATGTATCTAATATCTACTACTATAAGAAAAAAAATACAACTTCATATAAAATTAACTTTATTTTATAATTTTTATGTTTTAAAGTAATATTAATATCATGAAGGCTAAAGATATCTCTAGACTATCTCTAGTCTTCATGCATAATAGTATAAAACACTGTTACCAACAATCGCATGCACAGTCTTAGATTATCAAATCATTGCATACTGCATACTTAATCAGCATTAAAGGCGGAAAACTGTATAATGGTGGCGGAAAACCAACTTATTACAACCAATTTATAATCTATAAACCTTGGAAAACCACTAACATTTATCATATTAGAAACATAGTGACCAACATATAAAGTATAAACAATTATGATTATTATTATATATTTTCTAATTCCTAATTTAAAATTATTTTTTTGTCCAAGAACGAAAAATAATTCTGGTTAAATATTTCGTTTTCGTTCTATGAAATAATTAATTGTGGTTTCGTTTTCGTTTTCGTTCAAGTAAATTTCCCAGTATAACACTTTAACAAAAAAACCAATTTTAACCAAAAAATCTAATAAATATATACCTAAACACAGTTATTTTTTACACACATAATAAGTTCAAATTTGGACCAAATTACATATTAAAACCAAGAATAACGATTTTAGTTATTTTGTTGTAGTTTAAAAATATTAATCGTGGATACTAGAGTAGAGTAAATTATTACATTGTATACAAACATACAGTATATGTATACACATTGACATTTTCAAATACAATTTTTTTACCAACAATTAATTTAACCCACAGTATACTCTTGCCCAATTTTAAAATAAATTACTTTAATCACAATTATATCATACAATTTACTTAGTCATGTTTGCGCAGAATCGTTTTTCACATGTTTGCATACAATGATTATTATTATTATTATGAATTCAAATGTAACCCGTCCATTATAGTGAGTCTCTACTCTCTAGAGTCTAGACACCTAATACAAAGTAGTGCGTTACCCATTTACCAGTTTTTTTTTAAAATTACACTAGATAAAACTTATGTTTAATCTTGTTGGCATTTTTAAGTATTTTGACCGAGCAAATTTTTTTCCTTATGCCTATAAATAGCTCAAAAATAGTCAAAATATTTTGAAAATGTTATGGTGTATAGACAATTTTTATTCTAAACATTCATATATGATTATTTGTTTACACCAAAATTAAAATATGTTTTATCAAATACTGGTTTTTCCCCATGCGTTTGAAAGCTACTGGGAATTTTAAACTCTCGGGCGCACCAACTACATTCACTTTTTTCGCCAGAAAAGATACCGAAGCGTTACGTTTCAACTACTTATATCGTGTAAAAAAACACACATCATTGTAAAACCAAATGCATTCATCCCTCCACTCAGAATCTAAAAGTAGAACATAAAATGCTGAATAATCACAGCTGATTGAATTTGTCGTTTGAAACAGCACTATAGTTGGAGTAAATATTTAATATTAAGTACCCAGGACCTACCAACCTCTTCTCTTAATATTAATTCACACAATTATTTATTTTAGTTATTTTTGTAGACACTGAACTGTAATTTGTAGTATATAAAAATTATTAGTTTATTTTTATTTCTATATAACAGGAGAAGGTTGTCTTATTCAAGAGGTTGTACCTCATGGAAGATTGGATGTTCTCTATGAAGGTGCTAAATTAGAAGTGAAATGTGATCTTGGATATACTATAGATGGTCCAAGTTACGTTTATTGTAATGAAGATTTGGAATGGAATGAAGAATTAAAAGGATGTAAAGGTGAGCAAACGTGTATGTACATTAATATTAGTACATATACTAACATCGATTAATCTAATATTTAACAAATATTTTGAACAGAGCATGATCAAATATTTTTATCCTGTGATTTCGAATCGTCTGATGAAAGATTTTGTGGGTGGAAAAACGATATTTTTAACGACATTGATTGGTTGGCCGATAAAGTTGCATTCATTTTATTTACTACCAGGCGTCACGTGTCGCCCGGATCTACTCAGTATTTTAAAAGTTGGTAGAAATATAACAAATTAGAACAAAATTTAAGTATTTTTTTTTATCAGGTAATTATATATCTTTGGATGCTGGAAATTACGGTTCCACTACTACCGGACGATTATTATCACCAGCAATTCTCCCAGCTAGAAGTAAACAAAGGTGTTTGATATTTGCATATAAAGTAATGTCAGGAAATTCGAACGGTATTCCTATTCTAAAAGTCACTTTTGGTGGCATACCTCACTGGGAATCTCACGAAGGACAAGGAAGAGTTATAATTGGGTTGTATAAAATTAATATTTCAACTAGAGTGAGTAGGTTCAAATTATGTTTTTAAAAACCTATGTTTAATATTAATCTTTTGTTATTCTGCAGATCATAATTGAAGGGAAAAGTTGTAAAGCAGCCATTGATAATATAATTATTACAGAGGGCGATAGTTGTAATGATCTACCGTACGAAGAAGGTAAATACAAGGTGTACCCATTAGCCGTAGAGCGATACTCGCCGCCCGGATAAAACCGGTTTTATCTATAAACTAAAAAAAATATTAAATCATGAAATTAATGAAAATAGAATGTTGAAAATCAAAATTTTCACAAAAATAAAATCTATAAAATTATCATCTTCAATTGTTTCAAAAATAAAAAATAATTTTTTAACTTTTTTAGCAAAGAATTTAATTAAATTAAAAAATAAAATATTTGTATCCTTGTCTCTGTGACTTGTGAGTCTAATAAAAAACCAAATTTTTGGTAAATTTATTCTCTCAGGAGATATCGCAATAGGCAAATCATCGCGGAACATCTTGCACAGTGTACATGGCATTAATGATTTATAGTTATTTAACTTAATGTTTGAATTAGTCACATACAAATATACAATACCATCATAACAATAAATATTTGATTGTTTATAGAGACAAACAGTTGTCATGATAATTGTGGAAGAATAACCTTGGGTAGGTGTTCATGTGATTGGGAATGTTATAATAATAACAACTGCTGCCCAGACCTACGAATCAAATGTCCGTATAGTGAGTATCAATAACCTTTCATTCGTGCCCTTATTATTGTGTATTTATTAATGTTAAATTCGTTAATTTATAGTCGTTCCAATTGAAAATATCACCAGATTATATTTAACTAATGCAACTACTGTCACAAAGACCACGGTGATGACTACAGAGAAAAATACAATTTTAAATGTAACCGTTAAGAATATAACGACTTCTAGCCCCGTAATAACAACTCCCGGACGCAATGATACTTTGACAATTGACAAAATAACCACAGCAAGTACTATTAAAACTTCGAACATAACATCTACATATTCACCAGTGTCTATGACGAATTTAACAATGACTGTATCAATTCCATTGACTACAACGTCCACCGAAGTTCCGAAAAGTTCTTTATTTGTTAATTCTACGATATCTCGTCCCATCAACCCCAATTCAGTGACTACTAGTCCTAATGTGTCCATGACTATTCCAAATATAGTGGTGAACATTCAAAGTAATTCTTCAACAATAATCAAAACCCCTTCTATGACGATAATCCCTAGTATCTCTAGTTCAACAATAAAACCTTTAACCGTAAACAAAACTTTTGCTACCGAACAATTAAATATTACACCTACAGCAATCACCAAATCTTTAATGATAAATACCACTATTTCTATGACTACGATATTACCTAATATTTCTAACTCAACTTCCAGACCAGATAAACTTAATCCTACTATGAAGGTGATTTTGATTCCTACTATAATTACTAAATCTGCAGTGGAAAATACTCCTTTAACGACTTCAACGTCAGTTTATTTGTCTAACTCAACCTTCAAACCACTTATTACATATTCAACACTGTCTACCGTGAAACTAATGAATTCATCTAGCACAATCACTAAGAGTATAACTGACAATTCCCCATCAACTACAGCATTAATTAATAATTCTACTAAGTTATCAATTAAACCAAGTATACAAGACAGTGATGAACAGTTGGTTAACAAATCAATTAATACTCAACAAACGAAACAGAATACCATAATTAACGAAAATAAGACAATGTTAAATAATTCAACCACTCGCGTACTACCGAGTAATGTTAAATATTTAAACGACTCCATTGTAAATGATAAAAATATGGTCGTTTTCGACATCTCTGGTCTAAACCCTAACCTAAAACCATTTGAATACAATCAAACTTCAAACTATAAAGATCCCCTCAATATAACAACCGAATCTTATAACCTTTCGGATATGAGGAATACTAGTATATCCTTTAAAAATGAAAAACAAACAAAAGTTTTAAAAGTTCATCAGATACCGGAATTAAACAATTATCTTCATAACCAATCCACGAAAAACATTGATAATCTGTTGGCAGATTCCGTGAAAAAAGACGGTGAGTTCATTCTAACCAAAAAATAATAAATATTAAATAGACTAAAATATTTATTATAATAACGTTATATGTAATATTATATAAATACTAAATAGGTAGTTTATAATTTTTTTGTTATGTTACAGAAAATGCAAAATCTTCTTACACATTTGATACCGTTACTATTATTAAATATATTGCTGCACTCGGTGTCGTACTTCTCACTTTCAAGTTCACTCTGTCCTTTATATTGTTGCGTCTCAATAAACCTTCCAGTGATGAAATGGGCGAACACTTCGTTGAAACCGATAATGAAAGTTCTTGCAACATGGAACTGACGATTAATCACAATCAATGAATCACCTATGTTTTTAAGTTGATTTATTAATTATTTTAATACATTATGGTATAAGGTTTATCTCATATTAATTGTGTTTAATATTTTGACTAATATCTACAAATGCATTCATTTTTAGATGTACTTAAAGTAATTCAATGTAAAAATGGTAAATTATTAATGTTTTGAATTGGGCGATGAACTGGTTTTTTGCTTTTTACATTATTAGTAATGCTCTGTGGTTTTTTATGTGTCCAAACAACGAAGAAGTAAACTATTTCAACAATACTTAACAGGCTCACTCCAAGAAATAGACCCAAAGTTCCTCCAATTGATACTATATATTGAACAAATTATTAATCACGTAAAAAATTATTTTCAACAGTTTGTTTATTTTGTGTAACTTACCAATGAGGTCCATGCGAGATCTTACTACATTTCTTTTAAGTCTCTCGTTTGGTAGCCTATCTAATGCGATAATAACTTTTGATCCATATTTTACATCTTCATTATCTTGCTCTTCAGTGGTTAAGCTGATATAAGTGTTTGATATAAGTTTTGTAATATAAATATTATAAAATATTATAGTTAAATGGTGTACTTACGACCCAATTTCTTTACTCAAAACATTATATTCTGGTTCAGTACAACTAGATATACAATTACACACTAATCCCAACTTATTGAAATCATTAGTTTTTAGTGCTCGGAAATATTCTGCAAACAATTGTTTTTTTATATTATTTATAGTAATGTAATAACATAATATTATGTTGTGTTAGAATTGAGCTTAAATTTAATTATTTTCTTTAAATTGTATTAAATATATTATAGTATTATTATTTTTATATACGAGATGTAAACCTGAATGTTCAGTTATACAACCAAGACCTTCGATCCCACATACCGGCGTACCCGCTATAAACACAAACATACGCACATTAATTATTAAATAATATACATAAATTGAGTATATTCATTTAATTGGTTTATTTATTTAGATACGTACGAATTTTCAAATAATGTGGCGTACAATTACATATTCTGAGCTGAGCTTCAGCTCTGCAGTTCACAATGCACGCGGAATTACTGTATACGTTGTATACTTTTAAATTGTTTTCGTCCGGAAAACGACAATTCCTCTGTTTGATATCTACTTGTTTTAACAGCGGATCGTTTTCGATCTCTTTAATCTATTATAATTAAGTGTGAAGTATATTATAGTTATTGTATATAAACTTATTGAGATTTAGACACAATTTACACGATACTTTACCTGGTATTTCATCAGAAACGATACACCCCAACTCAGTAAAAATTTTTCTTCTTGTGGATGGTTTACGTAAGGTAAATCTTCTGGTGAGTGTATAAATAACTGTACATATAGATACGATATGTAGGTACATGGTTTCAATTAATAATCAATATAGGTATACCTTTATTGATTCGTACGCCGTAAAAGCAAGGCTGCCAGGTCCCAATTTTCGGTTTGATATCATTTTTAATTTTTCTCCGTCTTGTCTGTAAACATAATCGTAATATAATTAAGGGGCCTCGCTACTGCCGTCAATTTTAACTAAAAATACCTAAAGTATTGACAAAATTAAAATTAGTTAACGTTGTCCGATTTTGATTCTGAAAAAAAATTTGAACTCACCAGAAAACTGTCTATAGATCCTACGAAGCACTTTGTAAAAACTAAATTTTATATTATTGTAAACTATAATTTAAAACTTGAAAATATGAACTTTTTCAAATCATAGTTAAAATTAAAATTAATATTAAAAATGAAAAATGTTTCGTACGATCTACAGACATTTTTCTGGTGAATTCAAATATTTTTTCAGAACCAAAATCAGACAACGTTAAGTAACTTTAATTTTGTCAAAACAAATATATGTTTTTGTAAAATTCGTGTAGTAAAATTTATAATGTTAATGAGTTATTGATATGTGCATTGACAGGATACCCGCATTTAATTTCACTCACACTAATAGGTTATCATTTACGACTAACGCACAGATCCCAGGCGGCTATGACAAGATTAGAAATTGCCTAAATGTTGCCCCTTAAAAACATTGTTGTGATGTTATACGTGCAATGTGTATGGTACATAGGCAAAACTATTTCGTTTTAAAATAGGTATAAAATATATTGTTTTTCTCACTCCTGCATTGAAAATTTAATTTTCAATGCCGGTTGAAGCGTTGGAAAATTATACATTTTAGCGGACGGTAAATGTTTTTTTTAAATGCAACTTCCCTGCTATACAGTGCTGTTTCGAAAAGGTAATTTTCAAATCAGATTAATATACACGAATGTATCGATACTTTTTATCCAATACATTAAATATTAGCTCGTAGGTAGAACAGGTGGGTTAATCCCGTGCTGCTCTATGGAACAGTTCGGCGAAAGTAGATACAGAAAATTGTAAGAACTGTTCATAACGAACGGATTATCATAATACTGTGTAGTCGTTTTTTGATGTGTCTAAGGCTTGACAATAAATAATATGTGCCGCTCGAGCGAGGCAATAATTTAAGTCTTGGGCCAAGTTTTCGTCTGCAGCTCGTATCGCATACGTCGCACGCGACTGAAGTAGCTCACTGCCAATGCCACACCAATATAATATTAAGAGTATGTTTTAACTAATAACAAATACTATATTTAATATGATACAATACTATATTATGCACCTAATTAACGTTTTATTATACTCACTTTACTGTATGTAAGGAGTTTATAATAAAACATACACCATTTTCAGTTGTTATCGGTAAGAATTGATCGCAGCATTCGAATGGTTCATTATTCCAATAACAGTTGCCAATCAGATCTTTACATTCCGATCGAATCTATAGGCATCACACGAGTTATACAAACGTAATGTACTAGGGCATAATTAATACGCTATACCACCGTCTAAGCTTGATCACCATGTAATCGAATCTTTTTTTTAACGTCACATGCAACTGAACAAAATTTACCCTTTAATACTTTATTATAGTATATTAACGAAATGTCCAATTCCTTAAAACACTCTAAATTCTTACTTCTTGCAGATGACTAAAAAATGTATAAAACTATTCAACTTTAGTTTTCTTATATATCTACAATCGCACTTAATATATAATATATTATTTTATTATAATTTATGTAGTTTTTTTAATTTGGAGCGATGAATGAGTTTATTTTAGAATGTTAATTTTTCTTTATTTTATTTGAAAAAAGGTTCTGGTGATCAATTTTGATGAAATTCCCTTAAAATGATCAGTAGGTACTTTCTAAAATGATAAACAAAATAAAATACAAACATTTATTAAAATATGAATATTATTATTATATCTACCGACTACCTGGCATATTTAAAAATAATGTCATTTAATATATTTCTATCAAATAACATAAATATTTAATACAAATTTGATTTGTAGCCTCTTTTTTAAACCTTAAATAGCTGATTAGGTACCAAAAGTTGTGTTTTCTGAGTTGTGCCACTAATCACTATTCTATCAGTAGTGCATATTATATTGATGAATATATAAATTAGCTATAATTGCAGTAATCTGGCGTCGACGGTCACATAATTTATATAGGTTAGTTTATCTTTTAAAATATACTTCACGTATGATTTGATCGTAGTCTGTGGTGCAGTTTAACGCTCCTTTTTGACAGTGCGTGACGCACGAGTAACACGCGCCGTCGTAGAAAGCGATGTCCCGTAGATAAAAATCAATGTTCAAATCTCGATCAGTGCCGTACATCCTAAAATTATTATTATGAACAATTTTTTTTAAAATAATTGTTATTAATGAGAAATAGTAAATATTATTTAATAATATTATAATCGTATGAAATTCGCACTTGGAAGCCAAGTCGTATAACTTGTCAGGTGACTCTTGTTCGCAAATCGATAACGAGAGAAAACTCGTGTTCCAATCCAGATACGTGGTGTCGGTGACAAAGCTAACGGCGTTGTTGTTGTAAGCGTACCAGGTTGCTTGGAGATATAATCTCGTAGCAAGACATGATATGAAACATGTTAAAACCCAAAAAACTCTTTTGGAAAACAAAACATTTTTAAAACGTGTTTAAAATTTATTTATGAATTATATTGTCGTCCTAAGTCAAAACAGGGTAACTCCAGTCAATACGATTGTTGAGAAATAGAAAATAATGTCAGTAAATCAAGCCTTCAAAAAGCGCTTTTACAAAAAATTGATCAAAACTTATGCTGATATTTCTAATTTTATAACTAGAATTGGTTAAACACTTTTAATTTCGACTTTTTTGAGTTTTTTAAGGAGAAAATGGACTTAATCTAAAATAAATATCGTTGTACTAAACGTAAAAATTGATAACTTCATAATAATAATGGACTTACCGAATTATCGCTTTGGTCTTTTCTGGACCTTGTTTTAGCCTAAATTGTTACTATATGTCAAGTTAATACCCTTTTTTTTCAACATATGAACATAAGCCAAAACACGGTAACTCGTCTAACTCCATTATTTTTCATGTAATTTATGTACCGAGTTTTTGCTTAGTATTTGGATTTACCGTGTTTTCGCTTACAAAACATCAAATATATTGGACTTACCACATATTTTTTTATTTCAAATTTCATTTTTAGATGGGTTTCAAAGGAAATACACTATTTTTACATAAAAAAATCGGTGTAAAATCACTCATTTTACCAATAGGAATAAAAATATCATTTTTATGAAACATGGAGTTACCCTGTTTTCACTTAGCACTGTTATTATAACAGCTAGTAATATTGCATGTGGCTTGGTGTGGCGCAGTGCGTACACTCAACTGCGGAAATGCACTGAGTGTACTTAACGTCCAGCGTTGTTAGTTTCCGGATGGGTGACCCAGGACCACCCAGGATTTTTAACAACGAATCCTTGACACACATACAATACGTGTTTTCAACCATTCTTCCCCCTACTAACAACCTACAAACATACAAAAAAACCAACAGCTAATGGCCTAAGTTTCCGGGCTCAAGTTCAAAA